TTTTTTCTATTGTCCATTTTTGGGGTTAAAATTCTCTTTTTTTAAAATCTTTTTCAATATTGTCCCATAAAATTACAATGACTCATGTGATCTACCCTTACTTTTTTGCTCCATTACTAAGAGTTTCTACCACTGATAAACTTTCTGCTCTTCTTGGCTCCTTGCCATTATTTAGGCCTTTTGTTATGTTGTTATTGAATTACACATATCAACGAAGGATCGATCTCGAAGCTCTCATACACGCTCATTTTTATATATTGTTTCGTTTAACGAAGTATGAAATGTTCTTTATAACCCAGAGATTGTTCTCTGTTGTTACTCATCACTCACCACCAAAGAAAGTGTTTTCCTCACTGAGTGGATCTGACGAGGTCGGCTGCTCGTCCATTGTTTACACCTGCGTGCGGAGTTGCTCCATGTGTCCTCCTGCTGGCTCGGGTGTAACATCTCTCTCAGAGTATGTGGATTCCTCTGGACAAGTTTCTGTCATGTATCACCCAAACTATTATTAAATGATTAACTGATCATTTCTCAATGCTGTGGAAAACTTATTATTAATAAAAAAATCAATTAGAATAAGATATAATTCATTGTTTTAAAAAAAAGAATAATTCACAGCTAATCCACAATTTGGGGAAGCAAATTTATAGAATATTTCGAGTCCAGGACTGGCTTAAATTGTGCTTATACTTTCCTCTCCAAATTTCGGTTATGTGTGAAGTGTTAATTAAGATACACTGATACACAGTAACGTTGCTTTATATACAATAATGTGTAACAACGTTGCTTTTCTCTCTAAATAGTTCGAGAAAATTCCTGACCAGAATATTGCAATAGTTACGTTATATTACCTCGGGTGAAATATAATTATTTGAGACTACGAACTAAATAAAGAAGCTGCATTACTGATGTGTGTATGAAACAGCTAAATTGTTGTTACATGAGTAAAACGATGGGTAGGCTACCTGGACGTTGTCACGGGGGTCAATGCCTCCTCGGCCACGTCCTTGACCAGTTCCTTGACCAGGTCCTTGACCAGGACGCAAAAATTGTTATACCTTTTGTCAAGTGTGTAAACTGTTTTTGAATGAAAAACGATTTATTCCTCCCAACTAACGTTTCAATATATATACTTGTTCCTTTAAAGTCTGTATACTAAATCCTTTAAAGTCTGCATACTAGATTCCTTAAAGTCTGCATACTAGATCCCTTAAAGTCTGCATACTAGATCCCTTAAAGTCTGCACACTAGATCACTTAAAGTCTGCACACTAGATCCCTTAAAGTCTGCATACTAGATCCTTAAAGTCTGCATACTAGATCCCTTAAAGTCTGCATACTAGATCCCTTAAAGTCTGCATACTAGATCCCTTAAAGTCTGCATACTAGATTCCTTAAAGTCTGCATACTAGATCCCTTAAAGTCTGCATACTAGATTCCTTAAAGTCTGCATACTAGATACCTTAAAGTCTGCATACTAGATCCCTTAAAGTCTGCATACTAGATACCTTAAAGTCTGCATGCTAGATAACTTAAAGTCTGCATACTAGATCCCTTAAAGTCTGCATACTAGATACCTTAAAGTCTGCATACTAGATACCTTAAGTCTGCATTACTAGATCCCTTAAAGTCTGCATACTAGATCCCTTAAAGTCTGCATACTAGATCCCTTAAAGTCTGCATACTAGATACCTTAAAGTCTGCATACTAGATACCTTAAAGTCTGCATACTAGATCCCTTAAAGTCTGCATACTAGATACCTTAAAGTCTGCATACTAGACCCCTTAGAGTCTGCATACTAGATCCTTTAAAGTCTGCATACTAGATATCTTAAAGTCTGCATACTAGTTCCCTTAAAGTCTGCTTACTAGATCCCTTAAAGTCTGCATACTATATCCCTTAAAGTCTGCATACTAGATACCTTAAAGTCTGTATACTAGATACATTAAAGTCTGCATACTAGATCCCTTAAAGTCTGCATACTAGATCCCTTAAAGTCTGCATACTAGACCCCTTAGAGTCTGCATACTAGATCCCTTTAAGTTTGCATACTAGATCCCTTAAAGTCTGCATACTAGATACCTTAAAGTCTGCATACTAGATCCCTTAAAGTCTGCATACTAGATCCCTTAAAGTCTGCATACCAGATCCCTTAAAGTCTGCATGCTAGATACCTTAAAGTCTGCATACTAGATCCCTTAAAGTCTGCATACTAGATACCTTAAAGTATGCATACTAGATACCTTAAAGTCTGCATACTAGATCCCTTAAAGTCTGCATACTAGATCCCTTAAAGTCTGCATACTAGATCCCTTAAAGTCTGCATACTAGATACCTTAAAGTCTGCATACTAGATACCTTAAAGTCTGCATACTAAATCCCTTAAAGTCTGCATACTAGATACCTTAAAGTCTGCATACTAGATCCCTTAAATTCTGCATACTAGATACCTTAAAGTCTGCATACTAGATACCTTAAAGTCTGCATACTAGATCCCTTAAAGTCTGCATACTAGATACCTTAAAGTCTGCATACTAGACCCCTTAGAGTCTGCATACTAGATCCTTTAAAGTCTGCATACTAGATCTCTTAAAGTCTGCATACTAGATCCCTTAAAGTCTGCATACTAGATCCCTTAAAGTCTGCATACTAGATACCTTAAAGTCTGCATACTAGATACCTTAAAGTCTGCATACTAGATACCTTAAAGTCTGCATACTAGATCCTTTAAAGTCTGCATACTAGATGTCTTAAAGTCTGCATACTAGATACCTTAAAGTCTGCATACTAGATACCTTAAAGTCTGCATACTAGATCCTTTAAAGTCTGCATAACTAGATCCTTTAAAGTCTGCATACTAGATGTCTTAAAGTTTACATACTTGTTCCCTCACGTGACGTAAATCATCCACATCGTCAAAACTTTAATAGCAGTAACGAACCAATTTTAGCACGTATGTATTTTTAAGATAAACATACAAATATGGTTGAGAAGAATATAGTTTTTTTTAAAGTCCTAAAATTTGTGAGCATATGGTGGCGTTTCTCCCCCCCCCCCTCCGACTCTTATTGCTTGCAATTTTGCCAAGAGTCCCTGGTACTATTCTCCATCGGAAGCACTAGATTTCAACCAGCCTTTTCTCTCTCTCCTCATCTCTCTCTCTCTCTCTCTCTCTCTCTTCTCTCTCTCTCTCTCTCATCCTCTCTCTCTCTCTCTCTCTCTCTCTCTGTCTTCTCTCTCTCTCTTTTTTTTTTTTTTTTTTTTTTTTTTTTTTTTTTTTTTTTTTTTTTTTTTTTTTTTTTTTTTTTTTTTTTTTTTTACACAGGGTTTGACAAGGTTAAGGATCCCTAGCTTTATTGACAGCTATTTTACAGGTTAAGGATTCCTAACTTATTGGCAAGCTAAGAGCTGTTACCTACATCAGCTCATTTGAAAGCATTTTTATTGTTATGAGACATACAAGTAGGGAACAGGATGAAGTTGGAGCCATCTGTGGGCCAGCATTTTCATTTGATCAACTGACGTTATCTCGTTGACATCATTATGCTGTACGAATGTGTTCCATACTCGAGTCATCCTGGGTATGTATGATCTCAGATGGAGTGATGTTCTGGAGAAGGGTACAGCCAGAGTGAAGTTGCTGCTTTCTGCCCGTCTTGTGGCATAAAAGCTTGTTTCACGCTGTCCTCGAAGTGGATCCAAGTGTGGTACTTTGACCACACTTTTGACCACACTCTCTCTCTCTCTCTTTCTCTCTCTCTCTCTCTCTCTCTCTCTCTCAAGTCAGTCAGGTTTTTATCACATTACCCTGGTAAAACTCCCATATGGCCCTTGTGGCCATTTGTTCTGTTTGTAGCTCTGAGATTAAGCTAATAATTACGTAAGGTACCTCTGTTAGAGGTTATTAGGCACCTCCAACTCAAACAGCATTTGTATTTGTCAATAAGAGTGAGGAGAGGGACTGCGGAAGCGAGGAAAAATGAAGACACATTATCAATAAGGGCAGTGTATTGTGCAAGGTTCTTTTCGGCAAGCACTGACAAAAATAAGAATGGAAGGGAGTGGTTAGGTTAGCCCAGTGATCATGGCTGTGCATAGGTAAGATAGACAGGTCAAAAAACTGAATTAAGAGGCCTGACCACTTTGGGTATATTTTAAGTGAATGTTTCTCGTCACGGTGTAATGAGTATGTTCATTTATCCTCGTGAGGAGTAGGGAGGATAACTTACTGAGTGGCATCTTGCAGACGTAGTGCAGGATGCTGCGGCACGACTGTGCACCCCATCGACCGTCAGAGTCTGAGTTGTTTACTACCATCTGTTGAGAATAATGAGTCTCACTCCATTAAGTCACTCTACATTATAACATCAACCTGTGAAGAAGTGATGATCATCACTGTAGCTGACACCTTATTAGTAGTTGTTATATTACTGACGTATGTAACAAGGATCACCTAGGACTATGCTTAAATTTGCAAGTAATGCCAGGATTACTAAGTATTGTTGCCAGTTGAGGCACCAGGAAGAATAACAGCAAAAACAACCATAATATCCATAACCATAACAACCCCTCAACCATAACAATCACAACAATAACAATCCACAATAACAGCAAGAATGACAAGCGCAGGAGGTAACTCACCTTGACACAGGTGTTAGAGTCGGTATTAGTAGGCGGGTGGTCACCTACCCAGTGGGTATAATTCATGGGTGATCCATCCACCCAACTCCACGTACCAAACTCTCCCATCATCATCCCCAACCACACCTCCATTCCTCCCTGCTGCACCTCCCCTGCAGGTGGTGGGGAAAGAAAAGAATAACAAGAGTTACCGGGTAAGCTTTCACTGCTACAGTTTCGTTTTATCAAGTCTATTGACTTGATAAAGAGAAATTTTTATCGCAGCTAAAGTTTTCTCTGCTGTACTCTTTTCTTTATTAATGTTTTCAGTAATGATAATGATATTTATCAATGTGAAAACTTACGAGAAGAGCATTTTCATGTTAGTATATGAGACAAAGAACAAATAAGTCACAATTCTGAGGATGGAACAATTCACGAAATGAAACACAACACCCTGGATGGAACAATTCACGAACTGAAACACAACACCCTGGATGGAACAATCCACAACTATTTCGCACAATAACCTGAGCAGAACAAGAACGAGTTAGAGTGAATTCCAAAATACTTTCCATGCTCCAGGTGCTCCAGGTGCTCCAGGTGCTCCAGGTGCTCCAGGTGTTATGTTTACATAAACACATGTTTCACAAGATCAAGTCTAGTCGCTCCACAGCGTTTGTCCCAAAATAAAAATTAGTTAATTTACACTTAACTCAGGGTTGATATAGTTATGAAGATGGATAATTATAGTATATACCTTTGATGGGTTTCGAGAGTCTTTCTACCTACTCCTGGAGCCCGATGGGTCAGGCTTTATGGATACTCCGAATGAAATTCACAGCGAAGCCCCATCCTCGTAACTGCTGTTAACAGTGTCCAAATATAACGACACAGTTCACAAAAAGGGCATAAGTTATGTTGAAAATGGTATGAAACACCGACAAGTTGATGATTCAGACACATGTGTAACAGTTGGGTAACTTTATTGTGGGCGAAACGTTCCGACAAAACAGATACCCAACTGTTGCACATGTGTCTTAAACAGCAAGAGCATAAATTGCAGATATAAGACAATGCAAACATTGGAATCTGGAAAAATGACATTGTAAGAAAGGTGTATGTGTGCGATGTAATGTTAACTGAGACACGAAAAGGCTTGTGTCGTTTTCCCCCGTCAGCAGCGACACCAACAGACCAACAGGTTAGGTTAGGTACTGTTCATCAGGAAACAGGACAAGTGTTTCCTGACGCGGGTGTTAGATTACTACTGGTCTGATGGAGGGCAGGCAGATGGCAGGTAAAGGAAGGCCCCCATTAACATTTTACCAAGAATTAAGCCATGTAAATCAATTACTATGCGACCAATTATTAGGCAACAGCGCTTCCACAGCTCCGTCAACCTCTCAAACAATTTGCATATGCAATTTGCATAAACAAACCTATCCAGCTAGAAAATAATAATGGTAAATATAGAAAAAATATATTACAACCAAAGTTATAGACGCTATCGCAATTATAGACGATAAATGTATATTACTTTAAGTAGTAATTATAAACTTAACATTATAAGCACTGAATAAACATAGAAACAGCAAATGAAACACAAATACATGTCTAGCTGGTTTATACTTCTCTTATTGACCCACAAACTGCACACTAGTAAGTTACTGCCTCATACTACTTACTGTTAGTAAGTTACTGCCTCATACTACTTACTGTTAGTAAGTTACTGCCTCACACTACTCACTGTTAGTAAGTTACTGCCTCACACTACTTACTGTTAGTAAGTTACTGCCTCATACTACTTACTGTTAGTAAGTTACGCCTCATACTACTTACTGTTAGTAAGTTTCTGCCTCATACTACTTACTGTTAGTAGTTACTGCCTCATACTACTTACTGTTAGTAAGTTACTGCCTCATACTACTTACTGTGTAGTAAGTTACTGCCTCATACTACTTACTGTTAGTAAGTTATTGCCTCATACTACTTACTGTTAGTAAGTTACTGCCTCATAACTACTTACTGTTAGTAAGTTACTGCCTCATACTACTTATGTTAGTAAGTTACTGCCTCACACTACTTACTGTTAGTAAGTTACTGCCTCATACTACTTACTGTTAGTAAGTTACTGCCTCATACTATTACTGTTAGTAAGTTACTGCCTCATACTACTTACTGTTTGTAAGTTACTGCCTCATACTACTTACTGTTAGTAGTTACTGCCTCATACTACTTACTGTTAGTAAGTTACTGCCTCATTACTACTTATGTTAGTAAGTTACTGCCTCATACTACTTACTGTTAGTAAGTTACTGCCTCATACTACTTACTGTTAGTAAGTTACTGCCTCATACTACTTACTGTTAGTAAGTTACTGCCTCATACTACTTACTGTTAGTAAGTTACTGCCTCATACTACTTACTGTTAGTAAGTTACTGCTCATACTATCTTACTGTTAGTAAGTTACTGCCTCATACTACTTACTGTTAGTAAGTTACTGCCTCATACTACTTACTGCTAGTAAGTTACTGCCTCATACTACTTACTGTTAGTAAGTTACTGCCTCATACTACTTACTGTTAGTAAGTTACTGCCTCATACTACTTACTGTTAGTAAGTTACTGCCTCATACTACTTACTGTTAGTAAGTTACTGCCTCATACTACTTATGTTAGTAAGTTACTGCCTCATATACTTACTGTTAGTAAGTTACTGCCTCATTACTACTTACTGTTAGTAAGTTTACTGCCTCATACTACTTACTGTTAGTAAGTTACTGCCTCATACTACTTACTGTTAGTAAGTTACTGCCTCATACTACTTACTGTTAGTAAGTTACTGCCTCATACTACTTACTGTTAGTAAGTTACTGCCTCATACTACTTACTGTTAGTAAGTTACTGCCTCATACTACTTACTGTTAGTAAGTTATTGCCTCATACTACTTACTGTTAGTAAGTTACTGCCTCATCTACTTACTGTTAGTAAGTTACTGCCTCATACTACTTACTGTTAGTAAGTTACTGCTCACACTACTTACTGTTAGTAAGTTACTGCCTCATACTACTTACTGTTAGTAAGTTACTGCCTCATACTACTTACTGTTAGTAAGTTACTGCCTCATACTACTTACTGTTAGTAAGTTACTGCCTCATACTACTTACTGTTAGTAAGTTACTGCCTCATACTACTTACTGTTAGTAAGTTACTGCCTCTTCCTACTTACTGTTAGTAAGTTACTGCCTTACACTACTCACTGTTAGTAAGTTACTGCCTCATACTACTTACTGTTAGTAGTTACTGCCTCATACTACTTACTGTTAGTAAGTTTACTGCCTCATACTACTTACTGTTAGTAAGTTACTGCCTCACACTACTCACTGTTAGTAAGTTACTGACTCATACTACTTACTGTTAGTAAGTTACTGCCTCATACTACTTACTGTTAGTAAGTTACTGCCTCATACTACTTACTGTTAGTAAGTTACTGCCTCATACTACTTACTGTTAGTAGTTACTGCCTCATACTACTTATGTTAGTAAGTTACTGCCTCATACTACTTACTGTTAGTAAGTTACTGCCTCATACTACTTACTGTTTGTAAGTTATGCCTCATACTACTTACTGTTAGTAAGTTACTGCCTCATACTACTTACTGTTAGTAAGTTACTGCCTCATACTACTTACTGTTAGTAAGTTACTGCCTCATACTACTTACTGTTAGTAATTTACTGCCTCACACTACTCACTGTTAGTAAGTTACTGCCTCACACTACTCACTGTTAGTAAGTTACTGCCTCACACTACTCACTGTTAGTAAGTTACCGCCTCACACTACTCACTGTTAGTAAGTTACTGCCTCATACTACTTACTGTTAGTAAGTTACTGCCTCATACTACTTACTGTTAGTAAGTTACTGCCTCATACTACTTACTGTTAGTAAGTTACTGCCTCATACTACTTACTGTTAGTAAGTTACTGCCTCATACTACTTACTGTTAGTAAGTTACTGCCTCACACTACTCACTGTTAGTAAGTTACTGCCTCACACTACTCACTGTTAGTAAGTTACTGCCTCATACTACTTACTGTTAGTAAGTTACTGCCTCACACTACTCACTGTTTCTTAAGTTACTTCTCACTCTTCAATTCACTATCCCATACTCACCAGAACAAAGGAGTTTTCCTCCTCGCTTTCGATAGATATGAGGTGCTGGCCAGGTTGTCTTGACACCAGTCGTTGCTATCATCCCAGGTCAGGTAGGTGTTAGAGAAGTAGTGAACAGTGACCACCCCAGAAGCTCCGCCTGAGTGGACACTCAGCTGGGGAAGTGTATATAACGCTAAGGTTACTCTCCTTTGTGATGAAGTTTGGACACTGTCAACATATTGCGGCGAGCGAGGCGAGCGAGAAGAGAGAGAGAGAGATGAGAGGGAGAGAGAAGAGAGATGAGATGAGGAGAGGAGAGAGAGAGAGAGAGAGAGAGAGAGAGGACCATTTATTCCTGGGAGGACATAAGTCTGGAACAAGTTCGTGCAACGTAATGACATCAACGAAATCAAGTCAGTTGGCCAAATTAAATCTCTGGCCTACAGATGTCTTCAACTTCATCTTGTTCCCTATTTGTATGTCTCATAACAATGAAAAGGCATTCAAATGAGCTGATGTAAGTAACAGCTCTTAAATAAAGTTAGGAGCCTTAACCTGACCTTGTAAAACTCTGTAAAAAAAGAGGGAAAGAAAATCAGTGACAGTACTGATCCTTGTGGGACCCCCAGACAAACTTTTTTTTCCCATCAATGTTTTTTATTGTTTTTCCCGTTACTCTTGTAAATCTAATCTTACTCATAACAATTAAAGAACTAAATCTAGATACAGAAAAATATTAATCAATGACATTATATGAGTAACTCTAATAATTATTATACGGATCAATGGCAAAAAAGAGGTCACAATCTCTTAGGAATACAAAAACAATTGATCCATCAGCCGCAAAATCATTATTTCCTGACAGATGAAGTGAACGAGAGGTTACTAGCCCTCCTCAGATGCTAACCTGTACCATCATAAGTGATACAATGAACCACAATTACGTAGACTAGTTTGTGTATCTAGAAGGGCTGATGCTTTATGACCCTAGTAGGTTTAGCGCTTTGAT